ACGAGCGGATGCATCGTGTAGTGAGTTTCTGTTTTTCTTCAAGTGAAAAGAAGATTCTGGAACATGGGTAACTTAACTTAGGTTAATTCCGACTTTTTTCCAGTGATTTATGAACTACTAAAATATGCACATCGGATATTCACTAACTTACAATAAGTAAAGGTGTTGGCGTAGCGCATGCAAAATTAAATCTGAAAAATGCTGACGTGTAACGGATTACACATTGCAAGTCGGGCGTTAGCCACGTTTAAGTCAATCATCTCATGCCTAAATGATATGTGCGGAGTGCGCGATATTAAACTCAAGCAGATCTTTCTCAAACTTTTTTTTTCAATATAAAGAGGGAATTCTTGATTCAGCACGACCTGGAGCAAAACGAGTGCTGGAGATTAATCCGGGCCAGGTTAGAATCAAACCAGATGTTGTCCGACTACCTGGCTGTTTCACACTTGAAATTAAGAATTTACGGGTAAGTTCTTATGATCGCTTAATACCATCATAATATATATAGTCTTGATCAAATAACTAATTCTTGTAGTTTTCAAGGTAAAAGATGACCCCGACATTATCGGCAATTCATTCTTCGCCAAGGCTGAATATCAATGGTGGAATGTGAAAGATTTCTCGAATTTGAAATGTCAGAATGCCTCAAACAACGGTTGCGGTGGTTATGGAAATAATTGGTGAGCAATATTTGAGTAAATTTTTCATATTCTCTAAGTTTACACTTGGCAGTCTGCCAGACGAATGAATCCATTCACCACTGACTTTGTTCCGTAACTAATCGTTTCCAGTTTTTATTGTGACGTATGCCAGTCCCTTACCGAAATTGATAGTGGCGATGCTAGTGTATCCGATTCTATAGCCAGCCAACTGAAGGGGATCAGCTGTCCGAAACGACCGGGATTTTATACTTTTAGAAAGGTCAGAAAAAGACATATGACAACGAAAACTTTCAAAATCAATTCTAAAACAATTTAGGAGTTCTGCTTTAATGACTGGGCTGCATTTGACTCTGACGGCGACTGTGAGATGGACTTTTTGCAAGGAGATAAAGGCGACTACAAAGGTGCACTAGCCAGCTTGCAACAAGTCGGCTACGTGAGTACACGTCTTACTAACTCTAATGGGAAGTTATTAGTTTTGTTTAGGGATCCGTTATAGCAAAAATTCGCTTGGCTTTCAATGCCACTGGTAATATCGAACGAAAGAGAATTTTGAAGGAGGCTCAAATTGAGGAAAGCGTCGCTAGGTATTTACTTTGACTTTTTTGGATAAATATCTTTTTTCTTGTTTGTTCTTGTTGTTGTTTTTTCGCCCAAAATGCTTTGTTACGTGATTGCAACTTTAATCAAATTGTGATATAAACCTCGGTTGCTAGATACTTCATCCGTTCGGTTTTTTGCTATTATTTTTTCGGCAATGCTCCCATTCATCATATCTGCATCGGACTCAATCAGCAACTACAATAAAAGCGCGCCCAATCGCGCTATTTTGTGGATATGTGATATTTTCCGTGACGGGAGAGCGAGCGTTCGCTTATTAACTCGATCCCAGTATCGTAACAGGTTGGGGCACAAAAGCGCATCAACTGGAAGAATTTTTACGGCAAACTTTTTGGTTTGTTCACTTTAAAACTTAATAAGTGGTTCAGTTATTAGGAAGTGAAAGTATGATAAAATAATAGCAAAAAAACTGTTATCTACATCCAGATATCCACGCCTGGGGTTTATTGAGCTATTTCTTCCTTATCCTGTAATCTTGCTCTGCGTAATATATCCTACCATATGCACCCACAAACTAAATCCAAACCATGGAGGGGAGCGACAACGTAGCAGTGTGTGTTTAACTTTTTTTTCTAGAGTTCTGCGACAAATCAATAACAGTGTTTCTTCGAGTGATGTGCAATTAAGCAATCACTCATGCCTATTTCACACAGCGCTTTCCTAATAGTTTACGCTAATCTTTTTGATGTTCTTTTCGTCTATATACATAAGTAAGATCCACGGCTATTTTTTAATTCACAAGCTCCGAGTCATTTCATTTCGTGCTTTTTTGGGCTCATATAAATCGACTTGATTTAAGAGAACTCGAAGAGCGTCGACGAACATGGGACGTTAACAACGGGCAGTTTGACAAATTTAGCCAGTGGTACATCGAGTATCGAAAGAACATCTGGCACAAGTAAGTTTTCCATATGAGAGTTTGCTCGTAAATAGTGAAGAAATAGAATTTGAAAAAAAAAATTTAAAAACTAGAGAATTCCATTCATATCATTTTGTGATGTTAGAACACTCGCCAAAACAA